GTCAAATAGATCATCGATTCGTGGAAGTGGGTACCGGTTTTTGATGGTGAGTTTATTTAATTCCCTATAGTCGATGCACATCCTGAAGGATCCGTGTTTCTTTTTAACGAAAAGAACTAGAGCTCCCCATGGCGAGAAGCTGGGTCTGATGAATCCTTTATTCAGGAGTTCGCTTAGTTGGCATGATAATTCTTGTATTTCAGCAGGGGCCAACCTATAGGGTGATTTGGCGATTGGAGTGGCTCCAGGCACTAGGTCGATTCGAAATTCGATTTGTCGTTCTGGGGGTATTCCCGGAAGATCTTCTGGAAACACATCCGGGAAGTCACACGCCACTGGGATGTCGTGAATGGTCGCTTCCTCTTTGGTTTTATCCACCACATGAGAAAGGAATGCGCAGTTCTTCTTTTGTAGATACTTTTGTGCTTTGATACAGGAGATAAGGCGAAGGTTTGCGCCGAGTTTATCTCCGTAGATTATTAGGGTTTCGTGATTAGGAAGATGAAGGCGAACGACCTTCTCGTGACACATAATATCGGCATGATGGGGGCTTAACCAATCCATGCCGATGATCACATCAAAACTCCTAATATTTACTGGCATCAGATTTATTTGGAAAGAGTGGTTGTTTAGTGCTAACGTACATCCTATATAAATATCTTTGGTTGTTTCTGTTTTCCCATTAGCCATTTGCACCGTAAAGGCTTCGTTGAGCTTCTGGGGTTGTTGATTTAGCAAGTATTTGAATTTATTACTAACAAAACTTCGTTCCGCCCCACTATCAAATAAGATGCATGCATACGAGTTGTTAAGTAGGAACGTACCAGTGATAACGGTTGGGTCCTGCACTGCTTCACCCTGACCCATTGTCATCACTCTCCCTGCTGCTCCTGCCCCTTGATTGTTTGCATTGGGGCAGTTTCGCCTGTAATGCCCGGTTTTCCCACATCCGTAACAGGTATAACTGGCCCCAGCATTGGTGTTGTTGTTATTGTTGATGTTGTTGTTGTTGTTGTTGTTGTTGTTGTTGTTTGTCATCTGGTTTTGTTGAAGGTGAGCCCTACAATACTTTGTTGTATGGCCCTTCCGGTTGCACCTTGTGCAAATCATCTCTCTGCACTCCCCTTGACGGTGGAAGTTACATTTGTTACACTTGGGGAGATTTCCTGAATACTGCTTTGGAGCATTTGGCATGGATGAGGCTGGAGCATGTGGTGTGGTGGTAGCTTGAGTTGCAGCATGGACAATCACAGTTTGTTGCTTCTTAGATGATTCCGAGTTTTGCTTTCCATTTCGCTTGTTGTTTTTCCCCTTCTTGCTCTCACCTTCTTTCTTGACCTCCGCTTCTGCTGTTTTTGGCACCCTTCTTGTTGACATGATCATACAATTTCTTGGCCAGTCTCTTGGCGCTATCAAACGTCTCAGGGTTTGCCGCAATGACATTCCCTTGGATAGGTGCAGTCAATCCCCAGATAAACCTCTCAATCTTTTTTCCTTTTGAGGTGATCATTTCGGGACACATAAGAGATATCTCACTAAACCTGGATATGTATGCGTCGATATAGGAGTTTTGAACCGTGAGGTTCCACAACTCTTGTTCCATCTTCTGGATTTTGCCTCTTGGACAGTATTCAGCCAGCATCATTTCCTTAAGCTCTTCCCAGGGCATCGCGTTCGCCACCAGGAGTGTCATGACCTCTATGTGTCCATTCCACTAGGAGACAGCTTTATCAATGAAGGTGCATGCTGTGAACTTGACCTTACACTCATCTAGACACCCATAGATTTCAAAAACGGATTCTACTTTCTCAATCCATACCTTCAGGGCTATTACGCCTCTTGTCCCATTAAAGGTTCGAGGTTTGGCATTGGTGAAGTCCTTGTAGGTGCATGTTCGAGCGGCTCCGTGGTTCGTTACTTGATTTGTGCTTCCGGCTCCCTGCCCGTTGCCTTCTCCGTTGTTTCCATTACGAATCTGCGCAAGTGCTGCAGTGAACGCAGTGGACACTGCTGCCTGGAATGCAACCGAGTTTATCTCAGGTGGGGACAGTGTTGTGTTGTTTCCACGGTTGGGTCTTTGAGGCATCTTTCTGTCATGGAACGGAAAGATGTTGAGTGCCTATTGTTTTGCGAGTTTGGAATCCCATAGACTAGGCGTATATTGTGTGTATTTAAGTAATTTCATGCATTACCATAAAACAAGGAAATAAAACACATAGTAGATGACAACGTCATGATAAAACATAAAACATTTTCATTAATACTAATAGTTTTGATACATGAAAATTTTCCAGAAGGCATACAGTACATGGGGAAATATAAAATCTGGCAGCATGACGACCCTATGAGTAGTGTGGTCACTTAAACATAGAGTCGATAGTACATAACATAGATCACATAAACATAATACTAACGAAAGATACGGCTGGTCCTAGTCATGATGGGATGTGCCAGGGGGTGGTGCTGAGGAAGTGGATGCTCCCTGAAGGCGAGCCACCTGTCACTCCGCGTCTCGTAGTCGAGCCTCCCATCTCACCTGCCTCATGTGGAATTCCCGAATAATCTCTCGCGTTTCCTGCTCTGGCCTCGCAACCCTAGTTCAAATCTGGTGCATCTGATCGGCGGTGCTCTGAGCCAGTTCGTCAGTATCCCTCTATCGTCTCACCATGACTGGAAGTGCTTGGTCAGCCGGTCCTCCATCCCTCAAGTCATAGAACTCTCGAGCCATGCCAAACGTGGGTCGTTGTCCCTGTTGTCTGCTCCACCTCCAAATGTCGATACCCCAGAGAGGTGTAGGGCCACCAGGGCCCATTCGGTGAGCTGGCACCCTCGCGGGGTACGGTGGGTTGATGACTGCGGACTCCGCGTCCGAATCATCATCGCTGTCATCCCCAGACACCTCTTCTTCAACATCTGCCACAGGTTCTATAGGTCCTCTTCGATTTCTTCTTCCGATTCTTCCTCTTCCTCAGGGTCCTCTTCAGGTTCCTCTTCAGATTCTTCCAACCATCCGTTATTTCCCTGATTGGGAAAATAAGGATCTCCGGGGAGGTGGAAACCAACCATACTGACTTCTCTAGAGTGCATAAATAAATCACGTTTTGATTATCCCTATAGTATATTTTAATTATTTAGGTTTGGGTTCCCTAGAGTTATTAGAGAGTGAGGTAGGCTTTTGGATTCATTTCCCGCTATGATTACTCCTGAACACATGTTGATCATATTCTGAATAAATATAGTTGATCAGGCTATATTTATCCCTAATATGACTACATAACTGCCCAGGTTTAATCATAATGTTCAATTTCCTCCAGAAGCTTTTATTAAATATTGTTAGGTTATTATCCTGATATGCACACATAATTGTGATATTTTTGTTTTGTTCAGAGTTATTTAGTCCCATTGTGTTTATAGTTGCATATCATGTATGGTTAGATATGCTAGTTCACTATAAACATTGCTCTAATAACAACCTGTCACACCCACGAACCAGACGGCGGAAACATCCGGGGGCTCATGTGACTAAAAATTGAATTATCATCACAATGAATATACATGAAACATAACACATTCATCACCAACATTACATATAACAACCAACATTTTTCACATCAAGTACATTGTTATAAATTACATAAGTTCAAAGTATTAATGGTACGCTGAGTGATGTTACACAAAATTAGTCCATGCATACTTGAAAACCTTCCTGCTTAACGATTACCTGAGAATACAAGTTATTTTGAAAACGGTCAACATATATAATGTTGGTGAGTTCATAAGTATGTTTGGATAAAAGTCTTTGTATCTTTTGTAAAAACCCAGAAAATCCGATATTTTCTGTAAAGTGTCTGAAAATGATGTAATAATCAAGTATAGATGCATGTGTGAATTTCGTAGTAGTAACGTATATGAATGTAGTTTAGATTTCTTTGTATTGTAAGTAAGTGATAATTGAATAATAGTATTTCCCCAGAAAATCTGATAGTTTCTTATTTATAATAATGTCGAGGTTCTTGGATCATTAATTAAGTTATTTCGTATTGACACAATCGAAGGGTTAATCTTCTAAAGGTTAAATTGGTATTGGATCTCTATATGAGCCGTTATAACCATACATGATAATGACTAGGTTTCCTGTCGTGGCATTTTTCCAAATGCCGGTATTTGCTCAAGGTTTTGTCGCCCTAGACTGGCCTAGTCTAGCTGTAGCGAACAACTAAGGCGTGGGGGGTCACCCTGTATAGATCTATACACAAACTCCCGCTTTCCCTCCAGGAAACTCTGGTTATAACTACAGGCTACGATTGTTCACTCAAAGGTGCCAACCGACACGTCTCACTAGATTCTCAACCTTTCGTACTATGTTTAATGTTTACGTGTATGTTGTATGTTATCAAATCCAAAGGTACATATATAAGTATACGAAGTTCAATAATTATGTAAAGGTATAGTTACGATCTACTAAGCATGTGAATTTCAGTCCAAGTCCAATTAGCATGTAAATGGACCACAAAGGCCCAATAACATGTAAAAAGGTAATTTGGGCCCAATAGGCATGTAATTGGACCACCAAGGCCCAACAAACATGTGACCCATAACTCAGGCCCAAATTAACATGTAAATGGGTCGCAAGGCTCAATAAACATGTTAGGGAAAATGACGTATAGGCCCTATAATGTTTCTAGGGTTGACCCATTTAACCACTTAACTTATTTTATGGCTTAATAAGGGAACGAAGTATTTGTTACCTAACAATATAGTCCCTTTTTACCTATTGTAGCCGGTTAACGTTGCTACATAAACCTAGCCTAACACGTAAGCGATGACATGGCAAGAATTTAAAGCGTCGAACAACCGCAACGACGTCGTATTGAAGGCGAATCGTAAGGAGCAAGGATCGACTGTTCAAGCGCCTCCATATAAAATCAAGACTTCCTTGACCTAAAACGGCACATCTGCAAACTTCATTACCCCAATCTCTTCTCTAAGTTTACTCCAAAATGCCTTCGATCGGACATGCAGAACACAGCTGGTCTCCAAATTACCGCCGTCACATGGATGAGAATCATTCGAATGGTGTAACCAACGAAGACATGGCCATCAATCTACTACAAACCCAGATGGAACTGTCTCTTATACGGGAGGACTTCCAAGACCAGTTGTGTGAGCTCCGTCAGGCAGTTAATCGACACTTAGATGCCATGAACCTTGAGGTCGATGACGTTCGCGCTGGTTAGTTGGATATCTCAAATATGGTTGTTGATCTTAAAAATCATTTCGTTTCTCTGCAAGGAGCATATGTGAAGATGGTCTTCAAGGACAACACACGTAAGAAGCTGATGTCTTGTGTTGGGATTGTTGGTGTTGTTTGTGCGTCTGTGGTGACGTATTTGGTGTTTAAGTAAAAAAATGTTGTGTAGGTTGAAGCATTTCAGTCCTGGGTTTGTGTTTTGGTGTGTTGCCTATGTTGTTTAGTGTCAATATTAGTAGTAGATTTTGTGTGGGTTGCTGGTATTAGTTTGTGATGTTGGTGTGTAGATTTGGTGGTGGTGTTGCCTGGGCTGCTGATGGTCATCGTTTTTTGATGAAGTTTTTTATCGATGATCTCTGTAATAGGTTATTGAATAGCAGAAAGCGATGTAAACAAACCCATGGCTGAAATGTGTTTTAATATGTTATTATTAAAAAAAATTGTCTTTCACCTGTATCTGTATGTGTGCATGAAAGAAAGAAACATTTGGGTATTATATATATTTCATCGATTGGGACGGGACCACAAGACAAAGCAAAATGAATATACCTTCTTTATGCGCATAGACAGGGACCACAAATGGTGCAGTTTGGGAAAAGGGACAAAAAATACCTTTGCACACGATTGAACCATATCTGCTTGTCTGCAAACCTTTTTTGGAAAAAAAAAGGGAATCAAGTTTTCTAAAGATGGCATTTTCATGTTGAATGGATTAAGTCACAAGTCCCCTGTTTTTTACAATGACTTAATTACCCCTGCATTAAAAATGGTCAATTTACTTTGTAATGACTTAAGTACCCCCACATCCAAAATGGTCAATTTAATTTCTAATGACTAAAATGCCCCCACATCTAAAAATGGTAAATTTAATTTCTAATGACTAAAATGCCCCCACATCCAAAATGGTCAATTTAATTTGTAATGACTAAAATGCCCCCACATCCAAAAATGGTAAATTTAATTTGTAATGACTCAAATGCCCCCACATCAAAAAATGGTAAATTTAATTTCTAATGACTAAAATGCCCCCGCATCCAAAAATGATAAATTTAAATTGTAATAACTCAAATGCCCCCACATCATAAATGGTCAATTTACTTTGTAATGGCTAAAATGCCCATAATACCCCTAAATATTCGTAGTACACCATAAAAGAACATACAAAGATCATTTGTTTACTGCAACACACATTAACTACAAATAACAAACAATTATTTAATCCAACTCCATGGCCGTTGCAACACTGCTACCTTCACCTCACACATTTTTTGCAAGCTTCAGTTTAATGATTCGTTCTGACTTCTTTCGCATTTTAGGTTGTTTAACATGCTTAACTCGAGCATTGACATTCACCCCTTCATCCCCTCCATTGACTCCCACCATTCGCTCTTCATCTCCAGGCCTATCCAAAGCATCAGTAGCATCTACGATTACCTCATCATCCCCTACTCCTGTGTCAACGTTTGCAGACTCCTGCGTAGGTATAGTTTTTTGTATCTTTGTTCCATTTTGTTTGGATATCCTTACACCTTTACTACAAGTAGCCTTGTTGTGTCCTTTCTCCTTGCATATGCTACAAGAAACTTTCTTCCCTGCCTTGGAGACGGTATGTTTTCCCATCCGTTCAGAAGCATCTCTTCTTCTCTTTATGGTTGGCCTGCCTGGCATACTTCTTTTCAATGGAGGCAAAGGGGGTATCAAGTCAGTAGAAGGCCACATATTTTTTCCATTCATCCCATGGATTGGCTGTTTGTAAGTATTATGGTATAATGCAGCCAAGTACATTGGATCTACATATGGACCATCAGGTGTCAAATTTAAGTAGGCTAAGGTGGCAACGGAGTGTACGCAGCCATATCCATTAAGTTGCCATAGCCTGCAGCTGCATTCCTTTTTTTCAACATCCACAGTAAACGCCTCGTCCATTTTCCTTGCCTCAAACTTCATCCCCCCACAAGAAATGACATGCCAATGCCTACATATATAGATGAAAACCACAAATATCATGAGATATGAAGAGTAAAGTACTAATGTAATTGGATAAATGTACAAACCTTTGCTCAGTTTGGAGCATATTCAACCGTATTCTGATATTTGGACAAACAGAATAACGATTCCATCCTTGTCTGGTTAGTTTCATAGTCACCATCCTTTGCATCACATATATATGAATGTCCTCTAACATGCTTATTATTGGTTTCTTCCGGGCATCCAAAATCACACTATTAAAACTCTCTGAAAAACCATTCTCTACTGACTCACAAGAATTATGAACTCTGAAAAAAGCCAAAGACCAAGTCTTTGGATCTCTATCCATAAGATACACAACTGCTTCCGGATTTAATTTTCCAATCTCTTTCATAACTACATTAAATTGTGCTTCAGTTGTTGCCTTGCTCGCTTTCTAAAACAGATTTTCAAACTTGGATCCACTAAATCTCTTTCTAAAATTCGCATAGATATGTCTAGCACACTGCCTATGTTCAGCTGCTGGAAATACTTCCTTTACTGCCTCAATCAAACCCTACATAAGACACATTAATGTTTGAAAATCGAATAGCAATAACTAAATTGAGAACATGCAGTAGTTTTGAACCATACCTTGTGTTGATCCGAAATTAGAACCAAACCATTACCATCATTCCAACATTGCAAATCTTCTGAAAGAGTTTCTAAGAACCATTTCCAATTCTCTTTGTTTTCCACAGAAACAACTGCCCAAGCAATCGGGAATATTCCATTGTTAGCATCTCTACCCACAGCAGAAACCAACTCCCCTTGACAAAAAGTTTTTTAGAAAACAACCATCCAGGTTAATGATCCTCCTACATCCTCCCCTCCATCCCTCTTTTACTGAAGCAAAACATATGTATATTTTGCTGAAATAATTCTTACCATCAGGCATTGAATCAACACAAATTTTAACTGTGGATCCAGGATTTGATCTTCTAATCTCCTCACCATATGGCCATAATCTTGCATAATTCTCAGCTATTGTCCCTTCAACTAGAGTCAATGCATACTTCTTGGCTCTCCTACACTGACTCATACTCACATTAATCCCAAAATCGGTTTTTACCTCCTCTCTAAGCATTCGGACCCTCATCTTTTGATTGTTATAAAATTGGTGCTTAAAGTGGGTCCCTATCCATTTGTAAGTCACAATTGATCCGAATTTGAAATTCTTTGCACAATTATGCTCACCGATAAGAGATTTTATCTGGAAAGACTTATCTTCACTCATCCAAGAACCCCAAAGCCTGAAGGTACAATTGCCATCATAGCATTTGACAAGTAATCGTCTAGTATCATTCTTAACAAAACATAATTGATAACCATTCGCGACAACATAGTTACAAAGCATGTGTTTCAATTGCTTAAGACTCTCAAACCTCATACCTAAAACAGGTTCCTGCTCCTTCCAATTGAGCTTATCATTGAAAATGTTTGGCAATTCGGGATAAACATCTTCATTGTCACCCATGTCTTCTTCGAAAAACTCACCTACACCTGCTTTCTCACCCATCTCTACCTGAATCTCATTACCCTTTATAAAAAAAATGAGGCTTCTGATGGTTATCCTCATCGCCATCGACATCCTCATCCTCGTCGTCATCATCGTCGCCATTCTCTTCCTCATCGTTTGTGTCACCCACATCCCGATGCCCTGGTGCAACTTCCTTAACCAGTCTTGCACCATCAAGTACTTCTTCCTCAACGTTACCAACAAACTCATCTTTGTGTTCATCCAACCATTCCTGTATGTTACTACTCCCAAAATGGTCTACATATATAGGGAGTATAACACCACATTCATATGCAATTGCTATGAAGTCGTAATAATCGGGGTCATTGAAAATTAGAGTCAAACCTTTTGGAAAATCAATATCAGGTTGGTAGTAATAGAGCTTCTCACACTTTTCCCCAGTGAACCTTTCGATGAACGCAACACACCCATCCTTGTCCATTCCTGCGAAATCGATGTCCGAAAACCTCTGAGTAATTCCACAGGTGTAGCGTATGGGGTTTCTGGCGAACATTCCTTGGAAGTGGACATCTACTTGTAAGAATACGGGTTCCATGCTTGAGGATTCAGAAGCAGCTCACAAAAAAGGGTTTACCGATGAAGTGTTGAACAGTGGATGTAAAAGGGCTCTTTTATAAAGCATATACCGACATTAAGAAGGAGGCGGCTAATTAATGACATGGCATTAGACGAAAGTCACAGTCAGCATCCGATGTGGTCTTATTAGAAGGAGGTGGACTTAAAATGACCGGCTAACCCCTTCAAAATAGAAATAAGGACTTAATCAACCCGACAAAGAGTAATTCGTTCCCTTATTAAGCCACAAAATAAGTTAAGTGGCTAAATGGGTCAACCCTAGAAACATTATAGGGCCTATACGTCATTTTCCCAACATGTTATGGAAAATATTGGGCTCAATATACACTTGAATGGGCCCTTAAGGCCCATTGGCCATGTAATGTGAATATTAGGCCCAATAAAATTGTTATCGACATATTTCATTCATTCGTTATTGTTTCGTTGTTTATTTTAGCTCGAGGTTTACCAACTTGATTATAAAAAGTCTTCCTTTTTGTAAAAACGACATTTTTGGCCAATAAACCTCAAATTTTCAATTAAAGCCCAAAGTTTTGTAAAAATAAAACTTTAGTCCATAATTTATAAAAATTTGTAATTTCGTCCGAAAAGTTTAGAAATTCACGGTTTTAGTCCAAAAATTTATATTTTGATATTTATGGCCCAATTTTGCAGAAAAGAGCATTTTCAGCCCCTTGTTTGTAAAAATTTATACTTTCGGACCAATTTTGATAAAAGTTACATTTTTGGTCCCATTTAGAAATAAATGTTATTTTCACCCCTAAATTTGGTTTATTTACATTTATTACTCAAACTTTAGTCAAATAACCATTTTAACCCCAAAACTTTCATTTTTTCGCAAATTTGGGCCCAAAACCGTGAGGACCAAATGTTTGGTCCATTAAGCTAAAATTTACATTTTTGTCCCTTTGGAAAGCATGTTTATCATAAACATCCATTTTTATACAAGCAGGACCTGTTTGATCCTTATAAAAACATATATGTCACTTTTTGCCCTTATCTTTTGTTTTCTTGACAATTTTGACCCTTAA